ATGGGGAAGAAGTAGAATGAATGAGCCGCTTTGCTTTTAAAAGTTACCTGACAAAATTAGTTCATATAAGTTAGTATATATGTTTATCCCATTTCTTACATAAATCACTCTCCTTATCATTCAATTTTCTTGCACGACTTGTATTCATTTATTTGCATATAAAATACATATATTGTATTAACTCATTTTGGTGTGTTGTTTTGTGTGTGTTAGTTGTTTTCCATTTTGCTAACAATTCGTCATTGGCGACTTGACTAAGACGAGTTGCGTCAATGCTAGCATACGAGTTGCGTAATGATTCAATTTGATCGCAAGTTGCTTTCACGCTCAAAGTACAGTTTAGTTTTCTATAATGTAAGTCCCCCCAAAAATGTGTGAATACATTATTATATCGACTTTACCTAACTTTCTTGAATCGTTTTTGCCTATTTCCATAGCATATTTCATCATGGCTGTTCACTAGTTTTCTTGTAAAATATCTGAAATCTTAAATGCACGTAATTTGTCCTGAGTCCATTGCATTTAAATCCCCAATGTTTGCGCATTCTATCAACCAATCAGAATCCGGCTTATGCTTCTGAACTCATTTTATTAAATTGCGTAATGCATGTATGGCAACCTAAGTCTTCACACATCATGGCGTTTGTGGCCCAAACAATTTAATCATGTAGATATTTATGTGAGCAAATGTATTTTAGTATTGATGTATAGCATAATATATCTTATTTATTATAATACCGTCATCGATGGTGCCTCTGAGATTTAAAATTGCTTTTCGATAATACATATCAATTGGATTTAGTGATCTACAACGAAACAATTTACAATGAATCATTTCCATTTAATATTTCAAATGTTATAAACATGGCGCAATCGTTGGCGATATTACTCAATGCAATATATAATGGTTTAGTGTGATACTATGAGTTCATTATGTTTCTGCACACTCCTTACTACATACACAATGTTCACATGCACACTTCGTGTGCCGCAGCCACTCCGAAGTGTCCGTCATTTATTGTAGACACTTTTAAGTTAGTATGCATATACTCCGTTACATGCCGTTCACGTGACCAGGTCAACATGATTACGACGACTTATATATCTTAAATACGTAACGCCTGTAATTTTCATAATCGTGTGCGGTGATATAAGATGAGAAATATATTTCGCACGTTGGTACTACGCCCTCAATAGGGCCCAAAAACATCATGTACGCGTCGCGGTAACAGTGAGAATGTGTGTGGAAACGAATACGGAATTGATACATGTCACCTCTAATGCCAGAGATGAACATTAACTATTTCGCAGACTAACTCATTTGCGTTTTAGTTTACCAAAAAAACAAATGCATTCTCGGAGTCGTTCTTCAACGCGCACAATCATCACATTTTAAAAGAAGTTGCTATACTTTTCATCAAGATTTCGCAATACTCCAAACATAAGAATTTACCTATCAAGTTGTGGTGTAATTATTAAGCAAAATGTCGGATTTGATGACGTATGGTGACATTGAAGTATTCAGACAACATGGCGGATATGAAGACTTACTTAGTAAAAAATGTCGAAATCAAATATGATATGTGATATGACAGTGATGTTTTAGGTAATTTTCCTTGAATGAGTGAAATACATTTATTTTCTTACAGATTCCGGCGCGGCTTCAGGAAGGCCCTTCGGTGGCTGCCGTGTTTCAAATGGACGCAAGGTGAACGGGTCGATTCTCAACGACCAACAACTCTGAGCGGCACGTATAGCACCAGTCAGGGGATGAAGTTGATGAGGAACGGATCAGACATGACAACAACGGTCGACGAATCCATGTTGGAGAACACACTTTGAACTATAACAATTGTAATGATCTTTTTCTTTTTATCGAAAGAAAGTAACACGACATCGAAGCAAGCAAATGACAAATGACCACAAACTTACCAAAATTAACAAAATTACACATGTTTCCCGGTAAATTGAAATTCTTTGTTGCTTTCGGCAATACAATGGATTGCACAAGACGGGACGTGTATTTCAGCTATATTTGTATGGTACGATGAACCGATGTAAATTTAGGTGTTATTTTGATGATGGTTAGAAGGGAATCTTGTTTTTGTTAAGTATATATGGAAATCAAATAATTGAGTTAGGTAAAAGGTGTTATTAAATAACACTAATGCTGGAAGTTAACCATGTAACGCACACTTTGCCACAGGCAGAAAAGAAGCTTTCCAACAAGCACGAAGAATATATTGACCTCTATAGCAAACACGACGCATGGAGCCGCGCAAAATTTCGCTCCGAGTGCCCTACTACAACGTTGTTATATTGTGGTCTTCATAGAGTAGCAAAGTAACTATAGATGGATTGTTAATATGTCCACATGCATCGTCTCGTCGTGAATACTGTATGTTTGAAATAATTTCAAATTATAGTGATTTTTAGCAAAACATGGCTAACAAAAAAAAATGTGTCAGATGATAAAAGAACTATAACGTTCCCATTATCACATTTATGTGGTCACGTGGTGTTTAGATTTATACAGTTTGTTTTAATTTGATGTGTTGCAACATTAACTATGTCTTTCATTTGTGACAATCCTGTCAACTGTGTAGCTTATGCTAAAATATCTGTGCACTGATAACTTTAAAGATTATTAAGTGTCCATGACTACGTATTTTACAGATTTACTAACACGGTTACGGATTAACACGGTTACGGTTACGGATTAAATAACCCGTTTATTCCATAAATCTGTTTAGCAGCTTCTAGTTTTAAGCATGAACAAAACGCATGTATAAGGTTAAAAAAATTAGAAACTGTGCATCGTGTATACGCAACTTTATAACACAAATTTGTTACCTGGGACTACAATAAATATTCAATGTAATATAATTGTAGTAAAAATATATAAGCAACCCATTTTTGATAGTCAGCCATGATGTCAAAAACAATTTTATAGTATGAAGATATTGTAAAATATTGCGCTGCTTCATAACACAGAACTGATATAATATAATATTTGGAATAAATAATATTTCATTTTTAATATATATTGTTTGATTTTCTGCATTTAATTGAAATTTGTAAGCGCGGCCGTCATGTCTTCATGTGGTGGCTTCCGACGCTGCTTATTGACTAAACCGCAGGTATGCGACTTCTGCTGAAGCTGGTGCTGAAACACGTTTTCAACGCGTGTAAATTTCATTTTTTATCCGGAATTGGAAGTTCGTGTAAACCAGCAATGTATATTATACGAGTTGTATTCGTCGCTATGGGTTCCATGTTGAATAGCTTCGAACGCCACACGGCTATTCATTCAGTAAGTAATGCATTACAACTTAGTGACGAATTACGTGTTGCATTTACTTGTTTTACATGTTTTCCTTCGGTGTGTAAATATTCTAGCATTTTTTTTTATTTTCTTCATCATTCTTGACATTTATTTTGCAAAGAATTTAATCAAATTTCAAAAATTATAGTACAATGTGTTATTCTTCTCTATAATAAGACAAATGATTCATATTGGATTAAGTGCTGACACTAATGTCACTAATGGTTAGCCAGCACGTTTCTGTTTTGTTAATGCTCAAATAAAGAGCGATATTTGGCACTTTTGAATATGATATACTACAATTGTAAAAGTTTTTGTAAAAGTATTTCTGTTTTTGTTAAGTAACTTTGGCTTGTATTAATACCTAATTGAAAGATACATGTCTACGTGCTGTTGTTAGAGGACATACATGTCTTTTTAATTTGAAATTTGGTATACATCTCTTGTAGCGTGGATTAGCTTCAATTAAATCCAGATAAAACAGATAATTTGATAATCAAAGGCAAGGTAATAAATAGATTTAACGGCAGCTCTGTTAGTGTTCACATAAGCTTAATTACCAACGTAATAATGTAAGTAATACCGGCGTCATTTTGACAACCATTTGTAAATGTAACCTCATGCCAGACTAGTACAAACATCAGCATATTTTCAACTACGAATAATCTCAAATCCAAGAGTGTCTTAAAAACTACCAAAAGCTTATTTTTGCACTTATTGGTCCAGTCTTGCTTACTGCAATGGTTTTTTGTATGGTATATATCTGATATGCGTATGTCTAGGTTACAGGGTGTTCAAAATACAGCGACGATACTAAAAAGTAGAAAAGGGATACAATAACATTTGTTTCCTGCCAAATACGGGATTCAATTTAAAATTGTATTGGTTGTATTTAAGGCATTTATTTATTAAGTATTTAAATTATGTTTGATGTTTTTAATTAAAAATGCTGTTACTTTTACGTGGTATTTTGCATATAATAAATGTGTAAAACGTAAAATAATTAATACATTCAATATATTAATTATATATTCAAATTTGTTTTGTCTGTACTATTACAAATATCAATACAACAGTAGTGTTATGACATATGACATGAGCGTTAGTAATGTTATGGGTGCTAGCACAAGCTTGAGTGTCAACACAGCCAATGTTCCGTCACGTTACAGTTTCCCCATATGCACATAACTGATTCATTATTTGTGATGAATTAATGCAACTGAAATATCTATCGTTAGATTATATCGGGTATTATCATACTATCAGTGTTCTATTGGTGAATTGATTTGTGTATAATGTTCTGTAAATACGAGACCAGACTCTGATGTTGTGCATCTTTTGACATGGTGTTGTAAAATCTACAGATTATATTCACATTCATATTATCGGAACGTATATTATGTTACATTACTCTATTACTATTATTTTTATGTATCTACATTATTGAACATAATGTTGGATTGACAGTATATCCTAGAATTCAATTTGCATCAACGAGATTGTCGACTGCATACCATTGTGTTATATTTTCAGGACCTAATACGATTAATCAACAAGCTAACAGAAAATCTTTCCGTCTATCAGCTATTTAAGTAGTACTTGTTATAGAGTGATTCCTTCATTCACTGATGTGCCGATCCAAATCAGACTAAAAATGTCATATCAAGTTTAAGGACGCTGAAGTCAAGTACAGTGTTTTAAACACAGTATTTAGTAATAATTATTAGCACAATAGTTGTTGACTTCTAATGGACTTCTAATTCTAATCTAATAGAGGATTGCTGCTGAATAATATTTTGGTATTTATATCAGAACATAGATACCTATCATATCACGATGAAGCTGATACACAAATTAGTTTACATGCTACAAGTTTACGTTAGCTACAAGAGAAAGATAATTAAGCACATACAACATGCAGTGGGGCTGTGTAATAAATCGTGACTTGTGTTAAGATCTATAAGACTATTATATATATTCTGACAACATGTCGCCTAAGACATCTGTGTCAGGGAACAGTTAGTAAACTGAATACAGTGAGCCTAAATTTGTCATCAATGATTGGTTCACTGTGATCTCGTTCAAAAAGGTAGCAAATATTTCGGCAGCTTGCTACAAATACAGCTTTCATAATTACAAACTCTATAGATATCGCACATACCCGAGAGCACAAAACGTAGCCTGGTAAACTTTTATAGGAGGGCGATTGATTTTATAGCACATTAAATGAATATTAGAGCAAAACTCCACTACATCATCATCGTTATTTTGATAGTACGACACACCTAGGCCGTTACAATCTGGACGATATTATATTCAACGAAAGTGAACTCGAAAATAATCATGATTTTATAGCTGGGTCGCGTTTTCAAAGCAATTGTGTATGTTCCTTACTTATACACAACGCCTGAACCACTATCGTCGGGTTTAAGTTGGAATTAGCCTATAATCCAGCCATTTCTAATTTGGCTTTCTCCATGAGAGTATAATGTCGTATTATGATCAGACCCCAGTTACGTCGTTTTGATTCAGTCAGACATTTTGGAAGATTGCCATCACCCTGACCGACACTGACTTTAATTGGTGCTTAGTGGCTGTAAATTTTCGGTTTAAGAAGCCTGAGAAGCATGCACAGAATTCAGCTCACTGAGTTATTAGTAGAATTTTGCATTGTCATATATGTACATTTTAATTACTATCTTCGTCTGAGGGACACGTCACTTGGTTACATGCCAATGCTATGATACAAATCATGCTGTGTTATCACAAACGTGTCTCCCACAGCATGTTTTATTAATTTTGTATGTCACCGCTTTTTGCTGTCAGTTATTTTAATTATTTCATGTAATTATACTGGAAGAATTTATTCGTGGATTAAGCTTGAAGATTTAATTAAATTGCTCGAACGTGCCTTAGATGATTACACGTGACAAACGCCATTATTAAATTGTATACCAGAATTTCCTGTTCAGAACATACATGTTTGGGGTAGATGATTTATAAAAATGAGTAGCTATTAAAATATTTAAAATTCTGTGTTTAGAACAGATCTATAGAAAAATGAACAAGAAATTCGTGCAGTTAAAATCATTATGGACTATTGTAGTGAAAACCTGACATTTTTAAAGTATGAACCTGGCGTTCTTGCAGTGAGATCGAGGCATTTATGAACTGATAACTAGCCATTCTTGCAAGGTGAACCAGTTATTCTTGCGAATAAATCGAAGCAAACTAGCAGTGTGAACCAGTTATTCTTGCAGTTTGAACTAGCCATTCTTGCAGTGTGAACTTGACGTTAATCTAACACTATCGATTGAACGTTGCCGTACTTCATTCGTATCAGGAGAATCAGTTTGTGATCAACTATTATTCCACATTTCATAATATTAATCAATACTGATTTTTTTTAACATTGTTTATTTTTTACAAACCCATGAATGTTCAATGTTTAATTTAGTATGTCAGTCAGTCGGCCATAACAAAGTTATCAAAGGGTTACTTTTATATGACCATGTGG